TAAATCAGGCACATCAGTTAATTCCCTTTCCAAGTGTAGCCAAGATTTTTGGATATGTACCACGGAAAGATAGCCATTCCAAATCAGACTAATTACATTAGCACCCACACAAAAATTCAATCCAGTGAGTCACTGATGACTGAAACAAATTACAAAATTGAGTTCAGCTAGTGCTGGGATGCACGACTGCAGAAAAAGAGCTCATAATGAAAGAGCCATCTTTAACAGGAATTTTATGCCACGGAAATGTACAAAAAAAATCAATTTATGAATCATACTTACCGTAAACTTATCAGAACTAACTCTTCGGAAGAACAATATACACTTAACACTTATGGGGGGGGTGGGGGGGGGGGGAAGACAGATGGCAGAGAAAGAGAAGATGGGCTAAAACTCCTATCAAAGTCCCATGTAACAGAATCTTATTTTCAATTATATACAATATATACACTATTTAATTTATAGGCAAAACAACTATACTTTTGCAGGATACCATGTTATTTCTCTGGTAACCTGTACCATTCATCATCCATTAATGGTCGCGGTTGTATAGCAAAAGCTTCATAATGTCTAAACAGTATTCATGCATGGTAATAATAAATACATTTTATCACTTCAATAGTCTAAATTGCCATTTTCCAAATCAGGTATCTAGGTATCAGTAATGTTTTGTTCTGGACTTTAAAATCTAATTTACGTATAGATTCCAACAAATCTTAATGTTAGGTTAACGTAAATGTAACAGGAAGTTACATTTGCAAATTAAATTAACATAGAATAAATCAACAAAATAACTTAAAAAGATACTTAACAGAAAGGGATCAGTATTTTGTGCTAAACCTCTAATCCTTTTGTGTTTTTCTTCTGCTCTCTGCCAGCAGGTTCACTCTGCCTCCTTTCCTCTCCACTTATCTCATTTCAATTATCTCTAATATTGATAACTAATGTTTTGAAATATGTATTTTCCCCCTCTCTGTTTCAGGCCAGGATAGTGGGCTGTAAAGCTGCCCCAAGGCTTCTCAAATTCACCAAATACGTAAGTACTAATTGCAATGCCTGAATGAAGACTCAATCAACCTGAGGACTTCAAGACTGGATTGAGAAGACATGAATTCACAACGTTATGAGCTCTAAGGATGAATTACACTTCAGGAAATATTGGCAATGTTGAGGATTGTCAAATCTTGATAAAAGATCATAAAATTAATTTATTAATATACCTATTAAATATCTGGCTTGCCTATAGATGATGAGACACGGAGTTATATTTAGGCAATACATTTTTCACGAGATAGTACTTAACCTCAAACCCTAAATGAATAGATTGTCTTGCAAGCAGTTTTTTAAACATCTTTCACATCTGCTAGTCATATGATTCTCTTTACTGTTTCGGTTGCACTTACAGAAGCTATTAACAATGAAAGGATTGAGAAGTCTCAATCACGCTGTTTGTGGGCATAAAAATATGCAGCACAAAATTAGTCTTAATTTGACACCCATTGGCAATCACACTCAAGAGTGCATGAAGGATAGTTAATAATAATCCTAGTAATTCCTTGCATTTGATATAGCATCTTATCAAGTCGTTGATACATCTCAAAGCACTTCACGGGATATACCTAAAGTGAATTGACTGTATATTTTGTGGGTGAAACATATCAGCCAATTGCGCACAGCAGTGTCCCACAACAGTCGTGGATTGAGTGACCAAATTCTTCTTATTATTTTTAAGGGATTTATTATGCATATTATACCACTTGGTGGTGTAATAGATCCATGCACTAGTCCATGTGCTATCAGACCCCTATCCAGGTTAAGACAGTTTTGTGCACTTCACAACATGAAATTCAGTACTGTGATTAGCTCTATGTGCACCATTTCTTATTTCCCACACCAGAATGATTAACTCACAATGTTTGCATATGGCAGTTCTAATGTTGAGAACGTCTCAAAGTACTTTATGAATTTTTTGTAAAGTGTAGTGACTGTGTACTTGTAGATGTACATGGCAGCCAATTTGCCTACAGCAGGGTCCCGCAGTCTTGAAGTGAATGACCAATTTTATCCGGATGATAGTTAGCCAGGACATGGGGAGAAATTCCCTTCTTTTTACAAACAGTGCCATGACAAATGATTGACATTAAAGCCAAGGACATTGGTGCTGAGACACAAAATATCACTTTGCAAATAATTCACAGTATGTTATAAATCTGATATATAATTCACAAAGTAATTTTTGTTCTATTACCAAATAGTGTTCCTGCTGCACGTAAGTATTTTTGCTAAGTGTTCAGTTCCACAGATACAAAGTACAAAGACTCTTTTTTACATACTGTACTAACAGTTTGTGTTTCACAATCCCTAGCTGCAAATATTGACAACAGTAAAGCACTGTATCGACTCGAGATACAGAACTTGAGATACAGAAGTAATTCAAAGCTGACAGGAGAGGTGGGTGGATGGGGATAGGAATGGTGACTGAGGATTGTACAACATTACAATTTCTCTCTCTGAAATGAACCCCAAAACTAGACAACCAGGTCTGAAGTTCCAAGTGGAAAATGTTTCACTGTAAAATGCTCAACAATTTTTCTCATTACTCTTTAAGTTTTAGTGTGACAGCCTGAAAGATTTATTGCATTGATACTGACCAGGATCATATTTCATCAGTGATAAGCAAGATAATCAATGGACTTAGGCCTCTGTCCAGTGCTGCAACGTCTATACTTCATCATTAACCTTTACTTTTGCTGCCAGGGGCTTTGTTTGAAAATTATGCTCTCCATCCATGATTTCAAGGTCAAGAATCTGAAGGAAGAGATACCATTTTACATTCAGTGCCAACATTTTCATGTTCTTTAATTATAAAAGCGGACACATTTATGCATTGCGAAGTGACAGGTTTTTACATATTCACACGTCTTCAGTCCATAATCCAGGCTGACACTCCAGTCTAGCCCTGGGCTAACCCTGCATTGTTTGAGGCTTTTAGAATGAGACGTTAAACCTAGGTCTTTCCTGCCTGATTTCAAGCCCACTTTAAATATCCTCTTACTTTTTAAACAGAAAGCAAAGTTTCTCTCAGCTCGTGGCTGTTTGTTGGACCTTGCTGGTGCAAATGGCTGTGTTACTGTATTTCCCTAAAATACAATCACCAGTCATGACAGTTATTACTTCGCATTTATTTAGTGTCCTTCATATAGGATAACATCTCAGAGCACTTTCAAAGATGGAGCTGGATGCCAGCCAAGGGAGAGGAGAGGAAATGGGCAGTTGGCCATTGGCACGTTTGAGGAGGTAGACTTTAAAGCAGGACTTAAGGCAGATAGATGGAGGAGGAGTGAGACACAGAGGGAGGGAGTTTGAGGAGAGGGGCCCAGGAGGTTGAGGAAGTCAACGTGGGCAGGAGGAGATGAGGGTGGGAGCCAAGACTTCCATTTTAACCAATGTTGAGATATAGGAAATTTTGGCTCATCCAGGCCTTGATGTCTGACAAGCAAGTGGACAGAACAGCAGTGGACCTGGAACCAAGAGTTGAAGTGGAAAATTGGAAGCGTTTTTTTCAGCAACACATCTTATAACAACTTCCAGTACCAGCAGCCTAGGGACCTAGTCTATTTCCTGAAAATCTGGCAGCCTACCGATTGAATAATAATAATAACAATCCTTGCATTTGATATAGCGCTTTTTGCGTCTTGTAGACGTCTCAGAGCGCCTCACAGAATATAGTGTAAAGTGAATTGACTGTATAGTTGTGGGTGAAATCAAAATGAAATAAAATATAAACCTAAATAACACTGTTTCTACAGGCAATCGATCACAGACATTACTCATTCACTACTAACCTCCTTCCCATTTACTGTGATTATTTCCTGCCTCAATCCCTCTGCATTGCTCCCGTTTAGATCGCACCTGAAGACATTCCTCTTCGACAGTGCCTGTAGACACTTCCCCTGGTTCCCTGGCTCGGTGTCGAACTCTGCCATTGTTCAGCTCTCTGAGACACAGACTCTACCCCAAGTGAAGGACTCTGTATCAATGCAAATTGCTGCCGTTGTTGTTGTTGTTTTAATCGTTTTCCATCCCCAGTTTATTTCCCCCTTTTTTTTTTTGCCTCGTGTATTTTTATTTTCAATTTCTTTAAGCAGAAGACAGTTGGACTCGCAGCGAGCCACCCTGCCAAACATCTGCCGAATCAGCAGAAAATAAACCAGCCAGAAAATTCCCAGCGTTTTTAAGCACGCTGCCCCCCCTCGGGGGAAGTGGGGCCCCTTCTCTAACATGTTAAACATGAACAGATGGGAGGAGGAGTTTGCAAAGCTTACTGGGGGGGGGAGAGAGAGCTGGGGGGGTGGGGGAGTGGAGTGGGATTGATTCGAAGAGCCGGCATGGACTCGATGGGCGGAATGGCCTCCTTCTGTGCTGTACTAATTCTATGCTTCTGCGGATTCTCTGAGATGGCTTTGTTTTACTGCACAAAAAACAGTCAGCAGTGAATAACACTTCCCTTTGGGGGTTGTTGAATGGCTTGTACATGGTGTGTGTGTGTGTGTGTGTAACAGACAGGAATAACCTCACTGAGCCAGCTTATAACTGAGTCAGTGTCTTGTGTCTCTGAGCCTGAGCTGAGCACGGGATGGCCATGCAGACTGCATGCATGCATGCATGTGAGTATCCCGGGAGGGAGGGAGGGAGGGAGGGAGGGAGGGGAAAAGGGAATGGGGGGGTGGAATAAAATAAGTGTCTCACACGAGCTCTGGTCCTGACAGCGCTTCCCCTGGAATGTTTGAGCTGCTGTAGAGCTGAGAGCGACAGTGAGCGCAGCCAATGCCTGAGATGCCCGGGTAGAGGGGGTAGGGGGTGGGTGGGTGGGTTGGTGGGTGGTAGTGGCTGGAAAACCTTCCAATCCTCAAAAAAAAAGGACGGCAAACACCTGGAGCTGAAATGAAGCAGGTGTGGGAAGCGGAGTCGAATCGGATCAGGTCATCACAGCAGCAATGATGCTTTCCCAGCAGTTGCTGCAGCGCCTACAGGACGCGTCTCTGCCCCGGGTCTGCGGGGTCCTGGCTCTCCTCTCTCTGCTGCTGACGCTGGGGGTCTCCCTGGTCCGCCACCTCCTGAAGCAGAGACGACCCCCTGGTTTCCCCCCCGGACCCACCCCCCTGCCCTTCATCGGCAACGTCCTGTCGCTGGTCAGTGAGCCCCACGTCTTCATGAAGAAGCAGAGCGAGACTCACGGGCAGGTAAGAAAGAGCCTCAATAGTAGTAGTAGTGGTAGTAATTATTATTATTGTTATTGTTGTTGTTAAAATCAATCACTGTTGTTAATGATAAGGTTCCGCCGCCGTTCAGGGTTTCCGAGACGCGGTCCCGGGGTGAAGGGCGCTACGCGAAGGCAAGTTTTGCTGCTGCTGAGGTACTAACGATCCTCTCGCCTTGTTGAGGCGGCGCCTGACCGTCTCGTCGAGACGTCTCAAAGCGCTTTGCAAGATGTGCGGCGAAGCGGATGGCGCCTGTGTGTTTTGTGGGCGAACGCGGCATGCGGTTTGCGCACAGCAGCGGCCCACAAAACAGCCGCGGAGTGAGTGCGATCAATTTTATTTGGGGTGGTGGGGCGGGTGGATTTGTTTTGTTGGCCAGGAGACTTTTGGAACGGTACTACATCTGTGATATTAATCATATTAATCATCTCCTAGTAACTGGAGGCTGCGATGCATTTGTAACCTACACTCGGTACTGTACACCTTAACTTGGTATACTTTTAACTTTTTCACAGCAAATGTTCTACTGGTTATTAAGAAGCAGTTTTCATTGTGATCAATAATGCTTGATTCAGAAGCCGAGCTGCTGGAGCCTCATTTCATAGCGAACTCTGTTTCAATAAAACGCTCCACGGGAAGGACCTTTGTACTTTACCTATCGTGTTGGCAGAGAAATGATCAGGTCCATGTATTTCCCGCTCATTACTTGATGTTCCATTCACACTGTAGCTTCAGTGATGTTTAGCTTGGAATCAAAGCTGAAAGTGCAGTATAAATAGGCTTACGTTTTAGGGAGCATGGATTCCGCACCGAGCTCCTGAAACCCCCTCAGGAACTGAATCCAACACACCAGATGCAGCATAAAATGGTCCTATTGCAGGATTGAACAACAAGTTCACGTAATATAATGTTTCAGAGCTGTCCTTTGAATGAGACGTTAAACTGAAGCCTCAGGTGGAGACTTAAGCTCAAGTGGATGTTAGGACCCATGGCGCTATTTGGAAAGAGAAGGGAGTTTCTCTCAGGTCAAATTGGTCATGGCTGTTTGTGAGACATTTGCAGGGCACAAATCGCCTGCCTACAAATACAGTCACTTCACAGTAAAACCTTGTGAAGTACTTTGAGGCACTTTCTTGACGAATAAAGTGTCATATCAAATGCAAGAATTCTCATTATTAAGCAGAAAGTGTTTGGTGCATTATTTTAAAATTTCAAGGGAGAGGGAGCAAAAGTTATCTGGAAATTGTTTGATTTGTACCAGTGCACATTAGACTGCAAGTCTGCTTAGTTCCAACTCAAATGTAGCTCTGACTACTCCATTCCCTGTGGTAGCTCCATAAAACGAGACTTCTCTCGTTTGAGACGTCTCAAAGCACTTCACAGAATAAGTGGATTTACTGTATTGTAACTGGGTCATCATTTACCTATATTTCATGTTTTTAAACTCAAAGATCAAATAGATTACAATGATACATTTAGCTGAAGAATTATAATAATCCTTGCATTTGATATAGCGCTTCTCATTTCTTCTAGACATCTCAAAGCGCTTAATATTATTCCTTCAATAATATTCGGTTGTTAAGTGGTGCTCACATTCTACAGAAACACTCTGGAAACTTTTCTTGGTTTGCTGATGTCAGGCTAAATACCAACTTGCATTTATACGTCGCCAAGCCAGGGAAGAGAGGGGAGGTTACTGTTGGCACAGTCGAAGAGGAAAGTCTTCTGATACGATCTGAAGATGGGCAAGGAGCTGGCAAGGCAGAGGGGTTGAGGCAGAGCGTCCCAGACTTTTGGAGCGTAGTGGCTGAAAGCACAGAACGCCTGTTTGAGGTGTTTAAAACTCTAAAGCATGCCACAACTATGTGTAAAGACAAACCCAACCGCAACAACTTGTGTTTTGGAAAATTTCCCAGTAGCATAGTGTAGAAAAGTTCATCACAGAGCATTTACCGTTGCAAGCAAGGTTTGTAGCGATTGCAATGTTTGGGACCAGGCAAGGTCCACCTGAATAGTTTCACTATAAAAAATGTACACTTTACTTCAAATTGGAGCATTAGAGTGGGAGTGAAAGAAATAACTCTTGCACCTTCTGTTAGTCATGAGACTAAATTTCACATTGCCACGTGAAAGTAAACTACAATAAACCAGCAAAGGCTCATGGAGCAGACTAATCGCACAATTCACGACAGATTAACCCATGTTATCCGTAATTGCACCGATACGGATTATGTTTCCACTAAGTATACGTTACCTGCTGCTAATGTTGCCTGCTTGTTTTACAGATTTTCAGCCTTGATCTAGGTGGCATATCAACGGTTATCGTTAATGGTTATGATGCAGTCAAAGAATGTCTCATTCGCCAGAGTGATATTTTTGTAGATAGACCATCGCTGCCTCTCTTCGTCAAGTTGACAAACATGGGAGGTAATTTGGGGTGTTTATTGTTTTTTTTAAAAAAAATGTATAAATCAAATGCTTGTTGGGATTCTTTTTCAAAAACTCTCATCCACATGTGAGAGTTTTACTAACGGAGCCAAGCTGGTAGATATAACAGCGTAAGATATTAATTGGGTGAGAACAGTTTCTGCTCACCTGTAGTGCAGCGGGATTCCTTAACGTCCACCTGAATAGCCAAAGAGAATCTTGGTTTAATTTCTCATCCAAAGGATGTTGCCAACAACTCCTGTGCCCTCCAGTACCATCCTGAACTGTAAGCTCAAATCCTTAAGTGGGGTTTGAACCTGCGAGGCAGAGATGGACTTCGATAGCATGGCTGTAAACCTCCCCTTCCCCCCAAATACTGAATCAAATACCACACTTTAGACTTGTCAATGCCATAGATTAACACTGTAAACATATTTTTGTTTGATGGTCGTCTTTCTAGGGCTGCTGAACTGCAAATATGGTCGTGGTTGGACTGAGCATCGCAAGCTCACTGTGAACTGCTTTCGATGTTTTGGACCCGGGCAAAAGAGCTTTGAAAACAAAATCGCTGAAGAATGCATGTTCTTTTTGGATGCTGTTGACACATACAAAGGGAAGCCATTTGATGCCAAGCTCCTGGTAACTAATGCGGTCTCCAACATTACAAATCTGATCATCTTTGGAGAGCGTTTTACCTATGATGATACAGAGTATCAGCATATGATGGAGATATTCAGTGAAAACATTGAACTAGCAGCCAGTGCCTGGGCATTCCTTTATAATGCTTTCCCTTGGATTGGCCTCCTGCCATTTGGAGATCATCAGCGTTTGTTCAAAAATGCAGCACAAGTATATGACTTTTTGCTAAAGATTATACAACGGTTTTCAGAGAACAGAACCCCTCAAAACCCCCGCCATCTGATTGATTCATATTTGGATGAACTGGAAAAAAACACAAATGATCTTGAAACATCCTTTACAATGGAAAATTTAATTTTTACTGTAGGAGAAATTATAATAGCTGGAACAGAGACCACAACTAATGCGCTAAGGTGGGCCATCTTATATGTGGCACTCTACCCAAACATTCAAGGTGAGACAATGGCCTTTGAAATGTACTGTCTTTCTACATAATATACATTAAAAAATTTCAGACTTTTAATTTAAAGAAAATTCTTTACGGATTTCTTTCCCGGCTTGTTCCGTTGAGAAAAAGTTTTATGTTTACATTAAGAATTCAAATGATCATAAATCTAAACTTGCTTGCTGCCAGTGACATTAACGGCTTTGCTGGCAACATATAGCTTTTGCTCGGTTTTATTACTGCAGAATTAGCAAATTTCATCTTTGTCCTAGTGAAAGAATTGAAGAGAAATTTGTCTCAAATTAAATCCCAATAAATTGCATGTTACATTGAAATAAATTAGGAATACTCAATGCAGATTGCAAGTAATGTTTCAGGCAGTGCAGACTCTCTATCTTTTGCAGAAAAGAAACACCTGTTAATGTTGCAAGTGGTATGCAGAGTATGTTGGATGACAACATCCTTTGAGTTCCTTTGTAATTCAACAATTAAAAGCCACCAAAATTGCAGGTCAGCATAACTTTGCCCCATATACTGAAAGGGAGTGGAATAAAGGAAATACTGATTCCGACACAGGTTAAATTCCTTGCAAATCTATAATGTATGAATGAAAGAGGATTAGACAGTAGTTCAATTGCAGGATTCTGCCAACTGAGAAAGTACTGAAGGTTTGATGTTGTAGATTGTGTTAGTAAATCACTAACTGTTTCTCTTTGCTCTGCACAGGAAAAGTACATCAGGAAATTGATGCTGTTGTGGGGCAAAACCAAATGCCTTCACTGGATCACAAGTCGCAGATGCCATACACAGAGGCAGTACTGCACGAAGTCCTTAGATTTTGCAACATAGCTCCACTTGGGATTTTCCGTGCAACTACCAAGGACTCGACTGTCCGAGGTTATTCTATTCCCAAGGGAACTATGGTTATAACAAATCTTTACTCTGTGCACTTTGACGAAAAATACTGGAGTAACCCCGAAATATTTTGTCCTGAGCGATTTCTGGACAGCAATGGGCAATTTGTGAAGAAGGAAGCGTTTGTCCCATTTTCTCTTGGTAAGTATAGCCTTTGCAGTTCTTTAAAGCCATGTTGCATTGGGAGCAAATGAGCCAGAGCGAGATGAACTAAGATTGTACTCTGTACGTGAAGATCATAGAATCATACAGCACAGAAGGAGACCATTCAGCCCATCGTGTCCGTGCCGGCTCTATCCAAAACTATCCCACGCTCCCCCCATAGCTCTGCAAATATATCCTCCCCAACTAATTATCTAAGATGTTCCAAGCTTTCATACAAAATACTTTTTTAGTGAACATTGCTAACTTTAAACTTGTGCAGTAAATGGATGACCAAATTAATTACTCTATTCCCAGTTTTGTATTGAATTCTGACTAATACAATATGGTATACAGTGTTGTTAGGTCTTGTAGAAAGCAGGAGTGCTCCTTCCTTGGGTGGTGAATTCCTTCTGTAATGTGGTAATGATTAAGCGGGGAGGGGGGTGGCTTTGCAGGAGTTTTATCAGGAGAACTACAAAACCCTGAACTAAAGTAGAGACTGCTTGAACATTCTCACTATATTGGATGGATAATGTTCTCAGAACCAGAAGAACCCCATGCAACTCTTCCTTATCACTCTACCTTCAAGTAACTAAATAGCTTGTGTATAACAATCCTGGAAAATGGATGCAATTTATTTAGCTGTATTCTCGAGCGCTTTGAATATTTCAACACAGAGCCTGAAACTTCACTCAATAAAGCAGTACGAAACAGTTATCCTACGTGAAAGGAACTGAATAAGAGATGTGATACAATTCAAAGTTTTACCTCCGAAACTCTGCGATTGAGTTGCTGTCAGGATAGGACTAAATGTATTGCAGAATAACAGAAGGGGAACGATGCTGCAGAGAATTCATAGCCATAAAGAAAATTGTAAGGAATTTAACATTGTCTTTTAAACAGGACGAAGGCATTGTCTTGGCGAACAACTTGCAAGGATCGAACTCTTCCTTTTCTTCACGGCCTTGTTACAAAGATTTCATCTTCATTTTCCACCCGGGACCATTCCAAACCTAAAAGCAAAACTGGGAATGACATTGCAACCTCATCCATACCTTGTCGCAGCTGAAAGACGCTGAGAAAAGAATAAATCTACATCACAAGTGCTCTCATTATCTTCCTAATGTGTGTGGGGAAGGCAGATCAAAATGTCTGGGTGCAACCAAATCTTCAGATTTTGTTTGATAACCCTGTTCTTTGATAAATCTATATTGCTCAATCCATGCAAGGGAGGATGGCACATTTTCTGTTAACTATTTTTTACAGTTACTTCAGAGATCCGCATCCCATTTTGGTCTGCGTAGGGAAATAACTTTGAGCCAAGGTTTGTGCCCAGGTTTTTTTTTTGCATTTTGTTTCTCTCTCCCCCCTCACTATATTATCTGACTCCAGGACCTTTCATATTTGTGACACCAGATGATCACGTTGTAAGACTGTAACCAGTCACAAGGAGCATACAAAAGTGGCTGTGAATAATTGCATCTGTTTTCTAAAGATTTCTGCCCTTGCATCCTTGGCCCCCAGTTTTCTTACATTTTGGTGCTGGTCAGGATTCCTGTTTTGTCCAGCTGTCACATCAGAATCCTTGCAGAGCCACAGGTACAGAGAGGTTTTTTTTCCCCTCCAAAGGCAAAGTATATTAAATCAAGGGATCCCAGGGGATGTCTGAGCATAATATGATTTGTTGATAAATAGTAGCATAGATAACTCTATGGGACTGGTGTATACATTAACTTATCACTAACTTATTTTAAAGGAAATTACCAATTGTGTATGCTCCTTGACTCAACATGATTTATAACCTATTTATATGTAGACTTCTTATAATACAATTATTTATATCAAATATCGTACTGTGTTTTCATAGCACTGTTGGAAATGTCATGCACTTAAGTAAGGAAATAAAAACATTTTCATGACGTGCGGCTTTCACTCGTGCTTCACAGAGATTATCAGGATTGTATTACACTACACTTGGTCTGATCTATTAGTAATTTAGTTTCAATCCCTCCAACCTCTGCGGGCCGATCCCTGAGTACACTCTGCACACAATGCATCAAAAGAAACAAGACACATGTCAGCTCTCTTAATTCACTTAACCATCCCAATCTAAACATCCCAGCAATTTCGCTCTTGCACGAACATACATACAAAAACATTTCTACTTGGATAAAATGCTTGAGAACAACGGGATGAATCAGCACCTTCAAGGGGATGAAGGGATGAAAACTGAAAGGAAGAAATGCAAGGGGAAACACATAAATGAAAACCTACTGGCCTAACAGTTCAAGTTCACCCTAATAGCAAACCCTTTTCCTAATGAAGCAAAATGAGAATTCCCAGTCTTATTTTATTGATATTCTCCAAGAAGCCAATGTCTCAAATTTCTAAATGTAGCTACACAGTACACTTGGTCTGATCACTGGGGACTCACTGCTTGAAGCAGTGGATGAATCAGATCGTGTAGCTGTATTCAAGAGAAAGCTAGATCTTCACGAGAGGGAATAGAAAGGTATATGAGAGAGTAAGGAGTAGGTAGAGACTTGTGCGGAGTGTAAACATCAGCATGTACAGGTTGGGCCAACTGGCCTGTTTCCGTGTACATTCTTTGTCTTTCTGTTCCTATTTTCAGAGTTGTTGGTTCTTAATTCCTTTTTCAAGTTGCAACATCTTCTGTTGCAGGCCAGCACATTACAGCTGATCATGAGAATGCCATTGCTGCAAAACCTTAATTTATAACGTGGCTTAATCAATCCTTTTCTCAATATCTTCAGATTTTAGACAAACAGCACAATGTTCTTTATAACTGATAAAGTACCGGAATAATCAGCGGAGGCTTCGAATTCCTAAGGGCACAATAACAAAGTGCAGCACACGTATTTTTTAACACAACAGTACTTTCAGACTTTTTTGCCTTCATCCATTAACACCAAATATGTTCCAAATTTTGTTTGGGGTTAATTTTGATCACCAAAACCGCAGTCCTGCCCTTTAACAAGTTACACTTGGGGAAACTAGTTCAGCAATTTAAAATGTCATTCAATTCCTAACTGCAGTTGAAAATCTTTCTCCCTGGGCAAAAAACAGAAGTTCAGCGTGCACACACACACACATGTACGTACTTACATATACACACACACGCACTCGCTCGCTCACTCACTTCATTAAATATTTCCCAGCACCTTTCTTTCCTGAGTGGCAGCCACTTGTCTGTAACATCGCCATCTCCTGACACTTGGCTGTGCAGTATTCCAGTGTGTGGGAACCTAGAGCAGGATTCTGGCCAAATCTGAAACAACTTCCAGAGATGATGAGTCTCTACATGTAGGAATTAAGAATAGGAAACACATGTTCTTCATGGATGAGATAGATTTCTATCAACTAACCCCTGAGCAAATTCTAAGAGGTGTTAGTCGATTCATTGCTTACCATAATCAAACCAGTGTGAGGCACCAATAAACAAGGCAAACAGGATGCTAGGCTATTATTGGCAAATCGGTCGAGTTAAATTCCCCAGAAATCATACTCAAGCTATACAGTGTTTTAGTCAGGCTGGGCCTGGAGGACTGCATACAATTCTGGTGACCGCAACTTACGAGGGTTACATAGGCCCCAGAGGCAGTGAAAAGGAGTGGAACGAGGATGTTCCCCAGTGTTAAGAGAAATGAGTCATGAACGATTAGATAAACTGAGGCACTTGAGTACTGAATAGAGACGTCTCAGAGGAGGCCCCATGGAGGTATAAAAGATTTTAAATGGGATTGAGAGCATGAACCCAGAGCCATGCATTCTTAAGAGGGATTTCTTCTATTGCTCAAATCCTTCACTTATCTAACTGTAAAGGAGTCATTTATATGATGAGTTTGATCACCCCAATCCTCAAGGATTCTCCAACCCTGGTAGGAAAAAAAATGCTTATTCACTGAAGCAAATAACCTCGAACTTTCTTCCCAGTGTGAAAATGTGTGATTAATGTAAAACATCTTACAAAAGTAAGGAAGGCTGCTTTGCACAAAAGATAGTGGCCAAGGCAGGCTTGATGAGAGCAATACAAACCAGGTTGGCCAAAGCTAATCATGTCTTTTTGTGAAATGGTGGAAGAAAAACCTCAAAGAACACACCTCATTGTTGTGACAAATACAGAAATTTTATAACATGTCTTTCTATCCCCCCCCCACTGTTTTTTTGTAATACTCAGAAATCAGGCAAACACCTGATCAAAATGAAAAAAGCAGAGACTAGTGAGCCAGTGGTTTGGTGATGAAAGCTTAAGCCGTAAAAGCGCGCAGATTGTAGTAAGGAATGACTTATGGACCCAAGGAGAGTCATAAGGTCTTGGAAAAGAATGAGACCGGAAATAAAATGATAAAGAGAAAGACAGCGGAAAACTGTACAGCACGGTCCAGAACATGGTTTATATACCACCTCAGGGGAGGAGGGTCAGTGGAAAGAGGAGGAAAGTAAGATGACCTGAATACACAATGTGCTAATATCTTATTGGCCCGGACTACCAATATCCTGGTTCTAGGTGATCATGCATAAATTAAGAATTGAAGTAAAATTGTATAATTCCAATTGCAAAGCAATGTCATGTTTGTTGAATAAGTGGGGGGGAAAAAAAAGGTTAAAAAATATATTGGCGTGTTGTCATAACCAATATCCATAATCCGAAACATATCCCTGTACAATGAATGAATTCCAACAGTGTACTGTTTAATAAACATAGGTGTTGTACAAGCCCTAAACTATGAGTTGCTTGAGAAGGGAGGGAAACAAATTTTAAAAAANCATAAAAGGGCAAATAAAAATGAAAGCAAAAGGACACAAAAATTCTCTTTACAGAGTTAAAAAAATATACATTTCCAAATCCAGAACCACTGTAGGAAACACGAGGTAAGATAAAGATCCAAAAATTATTGTATTTAAAAAGGCAGTGACATAACCACTGGAAAAGCAGTATTTTAAAATGCATTTAAAACATCGACAAGAGTTACTAATTTGTAGAGTTTGCAAAATTGCTCAACTATTGATCAATATAAAAAGGAAAAGATGTAGCAGTTTTCTGTATTAAAATATTCTCTGAACAAAAGAAAGTGTCTGGTCATATTTTAAAAATAAGTATTTAACCACAATTAAGACTCAAAATGATCAAACACCAAGGCTGTTTACAGGAGAGACACTGGTACTAAAATACAACTGTCCTATGCTACAACAAACTGATATATAAAATAAAACATGAGTATTTTAATGGAATAAATTACATACAGTATATGCTATACGAGGTGTTCAATTTTTTAGCATTTAGTGCACAGCTAACACAACAAGATTTGGCAACCAAGTTTGGAGCATTCAGTTTGCTTACTTTTCCTTCTTTATCAGTCAAGTACAGTACCATTATACAGTACCTCCCATTATTCCATGAGTATTATCAGTCACTGGGGTGGGTTCAGCCAGCTTTATATCATGCATGTTTGCAGTACACTGACTTAAGAATTCTGATCCATTACAGACAGTAGAACAAAGAGCTTGGCATTCGCTGTACAAACCATACGAAATTTGTAGTTTAGTAAGTTAATATTGTGAGTAGCTGTGAAAAGGCACACAAACAAGTTTTGCAGAAAGTAAGGAACCATAAGATGCTTTTGTGCCCTTTGGAGGCCTTATTCCTGCTTACAGTGGCGGATAGAAAAAAACTCTAGGATCTTATGGTAATTACAATTCTATTTACAACACGAACAATTCTAGGTATATAAAATGCATTCTGATACAATCCATTATTAATAAAAACATTTTCAAAATGCATTAATTCTTTCGGGTATGTGTGCAGAATTGAAAACACTTGTTTGGTAATAAAAGGTGCACAACTGTTTCACTAGCAATTTTGTACAGTCCGCATAAGAAAGTTACATACCTGCAGCCTAAACTAACTTACAAATATTGTGTAAGAGCTGTACATGCATTTTCTTTGCAACCACCTTTACATTGGATTGGTTCGCAGATAAATAGTTCAATGCCCTTGTGGAATGTCTAGAATTTCTACTGTGAAAAAAACAGAACTACATATTACAATATATGCCACACTTCATTATATTGAAAACATAATGTGCAAGTGTGATATTGTTTTAAGGTATATTGATTGCAATACACGGTAGGTTTTCAGCATTGTGATGTGCAATAACCAACTTATTACTGGCAATATAGATATACAGTGAGGAAGTTTTGTGCATGGTATGTGACATGAAAGAACAGTTGAATTTTCCAAACCAAAAGAGACTTAAAACAAGGTATTTACTGTGTTAGTTTTTTTTTCAAACTTCCACAACTTCAATGGCATTGCTTCACGTATCTTAGCGTGGATCCTGAGTTGCAGTGGACAAAACATTTACCATTAGAAATCCCTTCATAGTTAATATCACTTCCCTGTTCCATTAAAAGAACAATTCTATGGGATGTTTGGGCAAGCTGAAATGCTTGGGCACTGTGCATTTCTGATCACTTTCAGCACAAAAACAAGGTAAAACCAAACAAGGCAAATTATACACAACATTAAAAAGCATCAGAAAAATGATGCAGCTGGAATTTTCAGTCACTCTAACAAACGTTCTTTTCGGTCGTCCTGCAAAGAGTCGAGGATTCTGTGTCTTTTACCTGCGTTAATGCAGATACTTTTCAAAAACAAAACAAAACAGGGGTCCTTATTAGCTCTGAACTGCAGTGCTCAGTTTTGAGTTCGTACAGGCACAATCTGCAATTTTCAAGTCCGCCTTACACAAATGCTGGATACCTGATGCATGCTTTAAATCCACCTTCCTCCTGACTAATAGAAAATGGGAAATTTACAGTTCACTTTGGTAACAGTAGTTGCTAAGGTGAAATTACTGCAACACCCTCCAGTGGAAACTAAGCACGTCCTATTCTGCAAGGCAGCAGCAACGCAAAACACTTGGACACCAAGGGGCACAAAGGGATTTGTTTCATGTGTACAAATTTGAATCTTTCCATGGGGGTGAAAGTGCAGAGGAGCGGGATCTTGCTGAGTGCGAGAATCCTCTCACAGTATTAAGGCCTTTTAACATAGAAGTGTAGCAGTCTCTGGTGTCAGCACAGTGAGGCTTTAGTATGTTTGTTTAGCACTGTATGTTCCCTTCTCAGCATCGCTTCTCCTCCTCTTCATCAGCTTCTTCAATGACCTGGATTTCATCCGACGTTTGAGGTAAGGGTAAGTTTTCTGTTTGCTGTATATTGAGCTCCACCTTTCGTTGCTGTTCCTGCTCCTCCTCTTCAATTACCTTCTTCCACAACTTGTGATTTTCTGTTAGGTGGTGCATGATCGGGCAGAAGATCCTCCGTCGACGTTTCCTCTTCCTCCTCTGGCCTGGAAAAGGAAATGTACATTTTTCACATATTAGTTTCCATTAGAATCATAAAATCTTACAGCACAGAAGGAGGCCATTCTGCCTGGCGTGTTTGTGCTGGCTCTTTGAAAATGCTACCAACTAGTCTCACTCCCCCGCTCTTACACCATAGCCCTGCAATGTTTTTAAGTACCTTTCCCTTTTGAAAGCTTTTATTGAATCGGCTTCCACCACCCTTTCAGGCAGTGTATTCCAGACCATTAGACATTGACCGTTACAAACTTACACATTGAAGAAATCCACAAGAATGAGAGTATTGGTGGTATCAGAATCCCAGCTCAGGCATAAAACAAATCATTTGAGATGGAAAATTTACCTGCTGGGAGATCAAGGTCCTCTTCATCAACTTCATCCTCAGTTTCCATATCTTCACCATCGTCTTCGTCATCATCATCATCCTCCTCCTCCTCCTCAGCACATTCTGCATCCATATCATCATCATCAACCCACTGACCTGGCAAAAGTCCTGCTGCATCATATGAGTTACACAGAGGGCCTACAATGTGCGTGATGAAAGACTCCTGCAATTTAGCCAACTGAGGTTTCGAACGGTCCATGAAAGGGCTGATCGGTAACCCAAGACTTGCCTCTTCATCTCCCTAGATAATAGAATATATAATTGAAAAGTCAAATGTTTTAACATACGAATTCACGAGTTCCTTTTCTCCTTAAAAATTCCAAATGATTTCTTATGTGGCTTGGTTGAGAATTATTCATGTTGTGTCACACCACACAAGAACATAAATACAGAATATCAAAGATGAATAGTAGAATGAGTAAAGTACACTACTGAGCAAAACTACACTATATATTCAGGATATAATTATGCGGAGCATTCATCCCTCGTTTACTTATAACTAAAAGTAGACCAACATGGCACTTGACAGTTTTAATACATTTGAGTTAAAGAAAAGAAGAAATTCAAACCTGTTCATAGAATTCGTTGACAATGCCTTCTGTCCACTGCAGATGCAGCTCTCTGCGTTTAGCTGGACCATTGATATCAGCCAGTTTTATGCAAACTTGGCACACGAGCAGACGATCATTCTCGTTAGTCCAGTCAATTCCTGGATTGTTGACTTCATTTACCTGCTTTGACAATAGTAAATATGATTATGATTACTTGCTATTTACATTATCGATCAATCTCAAGTTTCCAGGCAATGACTACATTGTAGGAATATAGTGTTTGTATTTTACAAATGTGCAGTGTCGTAATGCAATGAGAGCCACTGGAAAATGCCAGTGGAATCTTCCAATTGTTGTGCTCTCCACTATAATTGAGGCATTTTGCATAGTTCTGAATAAATTCACTTGAATTCTGACCTGGTCTGCATGTATTGAAGAACATTTGCTTTTGACTATTAAACATACTATCAGTCAAGGTGTGCCACAGTTATTTAGTTTTTGTGGAAGTCTTTTAAGCTACATATAAGACAAAGTTCATTAGTGAGGCAGTAGAAGCAGTTTACAGACCTTAGAGTTAAACTCCGCAAGGAAGTCGAAATGTTTTTTCAAATCAGTCGCCAGGATCGCTTCGATCACCAAGAAACGAAAACGTTTGAATTCGACATGATCAAGATTTGCCAAGAAGTTGAATTCTGGACGAGACAAAAACAAGTTCCATGCAGCAGCAGAATGGTGATTCTCCAAGACAGATCTGTCATTATAAAGGACAGCCTGGAAAAGAGTGAGATTTTACAGCTACTGATAAAAGGCATCACACAAATTAACAACCATTACAACTTGCATTTACATAGTGCCCTTCATGCGGGATAGCTTTGCGGAGCACTTAAATTAAATTATTTAAACCTGCAAGGATTCGCCCCCAAATACACTTTACAACATATTCTGTGAAGTACTTTGAGACATCTCAATGACATGATAAGGTGCTATATCAAATGCAGGGATTATTATGATTATTATTATTATACATATGTGGAATTCTCAGTCTGGTTTGGGCATTCTTAAGCATGGCAATGGGTTTCTGCATGCATCAACACACCCGATTGAGATGAAAAAACAGTGCAAGATTTAATCTTTTTGTGGTCAACAACTACTGTATATTCTCTCTGGATCAGTTTATTCCAGTTAAACAAGTTGTGAATTAGAAAAAGTATGTACAGAAGTTTGTTTTGCATTTATATTACTATTGGATTAAAAGGGATTCAACAACAACAGCAGTCCTTGCATTTGATATTGCGCCTTATCACGTCGTTGAGACGTCTCAAAGCGCTTCACAGAATATGCTGTAAAGTGGAGTGACTGTGTATTTTGTGGGTGAAACACGGCAATCAATTGCTCCCAGCAGTGTCCCAACAACATTCGTGTCAATAATCAGCAATATTTAGAAGGGAGCAGATTTGTGGCTAGATTCGCAAACAAACAGGGACATCAGCAGTCTGAGAGAGTGAGGACTCCACCCCCAGTCTCTCTCCATTAACTTCACAAACAGTAATAAAATAATTAATGCAACACATTCATAACTGGCCAATTGTATCACAAGAACGTGAAATTACAGACACTAACTATTGTAAGCAATCGCCTGCCCTGGAGCTATATTCTCATCAGTTTTTAAATAAAAAAATGAAAAATATGATGAGATAAAGAAATCAATAGTGTTTTGGAAATCTTCAAACAGAATTTAAATTCTAAGACAACCTTGTAATATCCTATTTTCCGAAAAGACTGTTTTCTGTTGAAGTGTGAGTTCAAAGTCCCAATGTGGGGATTGAAACTACAACCTTCTGACCCAGGCGAGAGTACTACAAACTGAGCTTGGCTGACAACTGGCTCAAATATCTCAATCGGGATTACCAAAAAATTGATTGCTGTTTCTGAGATGACTCAATAGGAGTCTTGGTGTTGATAGGAATGTTCTTTACTTAGCCGACTATCTCACATTATACCCATGCTCGGTGTAGGTCACTTACCTGAGGTGCATTTGTTGCTACTAAGAATGCATTTGTTCGTCCAGGGTGATCATAATCGTGCATGGCAGCTGCAACGTAAAGTGCCATCAACTCCAGAGCTGGGATGTTTGATGCGAGGCAGCTATAGTTGTCATCAGAAATGACACAACTTCTGGAGGACATGTAAGCATTTCGGCCCGGTGATATTCCACTGTCTGAATCTATGGAGAAGTGCATGTTTAAATATGTATTTCAGAAAATTGGGAAAAGGATATTTACATCTCACACATATTGAAATTAAAAGAGGTGCAAGGGGTGGGCGGGGGGTAAAAAAAAATCTGAAAATGCATCCTAGAAAACATTCTCAGCATTTTTTCCAGTTGGCTTGTGATTATTTTACGAAAAGGATTGAAAATAACCGAAGCCCAACACAATTTTATGAACAGTGAAAGATATCTTGATCATCTTAATTCTATCGTTCTTTAATTAACAATAACAGGAACAAAATTACATTTATATAGCGCCTTACACATCAGAAAGAATTCCCAAAGTGCTGGGCTATCTGCCCGAATGCAAGAAATCTGACACATTAATCCTCAAAGTAGACCTTTGCAACGTTGTAATGCCTATTAAAACACAGACCTGTGTCACTTCCTGTTACATGATCACTGTGTATTTGTTGGAATCCTGGGACTGGTCGTGTTGTTAAGTACCAAACAGCATGAAGAACATCAGTGGCATGGACACGGTTGTGGTCTAATCAAAAGAGAACATGTATTAAAGGACAAACCAAAGGTAAACAAGCAAACATCTTATAAGTAATCACCTAGTCTCTTTAAAGGAGTATCATCCTCCCTGTAGAACATGCAAATACACTTCCAGCAAGTTAGTTGGACCGTGTTCAGGAATGGGAATCCTAGACAATACTCTAGGATTTTCTCTCTCCAATACTCTCATTAATACAATACATATAGTCACCAAATTGGGATAAAACCTATTACCTACAATAAAATCATGTACGTTATATCACCAGAAACTCTTTATATAACAAATATGCAAAGACAAGGAGCTATACTTACAAGGAATGTCACGATAGCCAGACTCCAATACACGAAAGTAGGTCATAAACTCCCGAATAGGGATTTTAAACAGGTCAAATAAGCCAGTATCTTGAAACAAGGAATAAATGACCTAAATACAAAATGGTTTTGTTGGTTACTGATAATCACAAACCAAGTGTGCACAGTATATTTTGTTTGCAGATGCAGAATTCCCCATATTTTGACTGCCAAGGTACAATTTGTCACTCACTTTTTTCTGCCGATTTATTTCCTTTAACTTTCACTCCTCCAGTGAGTTAGCACTGGTTACAGCACTGCCCCTGAAGGCAAGAGGCAGTGAAGGAAACTAAATGGGTCATTAGTACCATGAATCAATGGCTACTTGGCTGAGGTGCCAGAAAGCAACTGCACCAGTTAAACTGGAGATCTCAGTGCGTTTAGAACATTGAAGAGGAGAAAGCAAAAACATTTTTTTAATGCTCAAATTTATTGGATCATCTCCACAGAAAAGCATCACAAAAAGGCACCATAGCCTTCTGGGCCTTCTGCATCTCTCAATTTTTAAGAGTTTAATTTTAATGCTGCAATACCCATCAACTTCACCTGAAAAAACATCTGAAATTTAAAATCGGATTATCTACCGAAAACTATCTAAGCAAAGTGCTCGGCTTTATTTGTTGTTTTGATGTGTGTTACAAAAGTCAAGATCCCCTGACAAATCTGGTTTGCAAATGGCAATGACCTCTTGCTTCACCCATTCTTTGTTCCACGATTGCTATGAATAAGCAATTGGGAACAAAGGTCACTGTACACAAGTTAAAGGAATTCAATCTCAGCTATGAATATATCTTCCAAATATCAGCTGAACTGAGGTATTTTGGCGAATTCTATAATGTAATTACTTTTAAAACTATGTTCCAGCAGTCTGAATTCCAGCAGTCAGTTTTCTTTAGTATATAAAGTTGCTTGCAACAAAATCAACTTGAACACAACATTGACAAAACACAATACGAGCCGGGAAACTAACCTGACTAAGAATTTTTCCGGATTTGCCACCTGTCACCTCCACAAGCTCAAAAATTGGAAAATTCCAATTATTTAACTTTTCCATGTACATCTTGGTATTCTGCATTTCCAACGGTTCAAGCAAAAAATCTGGCAACTGATGCAGATTGGGAAACAGAACATCACTGTTTTTGATGTTTGATTACACCACATTATTGCAATGTCACATTGCCACAACAAAATGTACATTGTGTTAATTAATACAATAACCCCCCAAACGTTGGGTGGAATTCTCTCATTCTAAAATAACAGATGAGAATGCTGTTATATTCCTCAACAACCTCACCCCACTCCCCAATCACAGTGTGAAATTATAGTCCCAGCAGTTGATCGAGTGATTATAGACAAGTTTGGGATTTGAACTGTTAAAAAGCAAAGCTCTTTCATATCAAATTATAATTCATAATTGAATTCATAAGCACATCGAACTAAATATCTCAGCATTTCCGTAATATAAAAATTGATCAAATCCCAATTTCTTTTTTAAAAAAAAGAGATACATGCATACATACTGACTACACCATATTCTGGTGAACAGTCAGAGTTTGGTTTTGCATTAAACCTTACAGACCAAAAACATAGTCAGGCCTCAGTTTGTGCCAAGCTAGGGGTGTAATAGGGGTGCTACAACTGCCCTCGGGGCCAATGGGCTCAGGGGTGATAGGGAAGAAAAATCAGCCAGGACTTCTATTCACTATCCAGTGTCTCCCTGATGCAAAGAATATGTACACAAACTTTGGATGAGAATGGGACCAAGCTCAGTTTGATGCTCTTCACAATTGAAAAGCTTGCCAACACTCAACAGCTTGGCTCAATTGAGTAAGGTGCTGAGGCTACTGTCGCCAATGAAATCACATACTGCAAGAGTAGCAGAGGAAAGAAATGGGCCCCAAAACATGTAAACACACACACAGGCAACTGTTTCCAAAGGTAATGTTAAAATACATACACACACACAAAAAGAAATGATGCCTAAATCCACTGTGCTATTATACGCAGCAATCTTTGTTGTTAACAGCTGATCAATAAGCAAACCATTTTGGAGTATCTTACCTGTGTCTGTTGATCACTGTGATCTGTACATCTCCTGGAACGCTCATTTTCCACCTCTTCACTGCTCTCTGCCCCCAGTGTGTGTCCCGGTTCCTTTGATCCACTGTTGCCAGCGGAATTTTCTGAACCTTCATCTTAAAAATACATGTATATAAAAACAAAACCACAAATTCTTTAAAAATTCATTATTCAACCCTTAGACAAAGGCAATTTCACAACACAAAACTTTGGTCCATTGAGAAACAATTTTTTTCCCTGTTCATGCATGTATGAATTTTGTATTCATTTAAAAAGTTTGAAAAGTGTAACTTATACACGGATATATCTAACACCTTCACAAACTCTCATATTTTAACAAATTTACCTTGTCTTTTGACACTTTGTGGTGATTCTGCTACAGACTGTAAACCACTGTCTCCCATGTCTATGTTTTGAACTGATCTAGGCATCTGTCGCCCACAACTAGAATAAGATTTTTGAAAGAGAAAAAATGAGAAAGGTTATATAGAATTTGTCATTCTAAGTTTACTTGTTCACATTTTCCCAATAATCCAGTGAGCTATCAAATTGACTTCCTGATCTAATCGGTCATTATTTATTAAATAAACTGGATTGCCAAGATTTAAAAGTGTAGCTTAGCTATTACAACTACAGATTGCATTTGATACAATTCTTACTGCTCAGAACAGTGAAATGTTCTTCAAAATATTTTGCCACATGAGTATACCTGGAAACCCAATGATGCCTTAACAGATCTTTTTGAGAGCAGCTATACTGAAGCCCATAAAACAGTCACTCCTTCATAATAGGATAATTACAATAATTTGAGGAAATCCTTTGAAGTGGCTTGGGATATCCTCTGACATAAGAGGTGCTATATCAAATGATAGAATTATAATTATAAATTATTATTATGCTTTAACAAGTCCTCAGGATTCTTTATGTGCAGACACTTATAAAACGCGGGTTGTTTCTAAACTTGGCTGTTAAAAAACACAGATTTTAGGCAAAACTATTCTCCCGTTTTGTGGGTAAACTGTTGAAAGTGGCCATGAATGAGAACGGGCAAAAAGAGTGATTAGTCTCGTTATCAAGTAAATCCCTATTGGAAGAGACATTGAATTCAGGTTCCCTGAATCACAAAAAAAACATTCTATTCTGACATTACTGATCAAGTTGAAAGTTGAGAACACAAAACAACAACAACAGCGTCCCAGAGAACTGGACAATCAGGGGTTTGGACCTGAACGAGGTCCAAGTGCAGGTCAATGTAGTGTCCAGGAAAGCAGAATTCTCTGTTCCACACTCTGTTAAATAAACAGCTTTTTTGTTCCCCCCCACCCACGGAAGAACCGATGTACAAATAAACAAAAACAAGTACATTTTTCCAAGATTAAAACAAAATTGATGTTTGACTTGCAGGCAAGGTGTCAATGTATACAAATGAGAGGGCAAATAAGCAAAGACAGCTTTGATAAACAAAAGTTGGGAGAAAAATTGATCAACATGTCTGTAAAATGCAATACATATGAAACAAATAATGTTATAATATTGTGATAAATATGTTATTGCTGTGACAAACCGATAAGATCATTTGCATGACAAACTAAAAGCCCGTCCATCAAATCAAAGGTAAACGTGTTGCAAATTTGAACAAGTGAAACTGGGATTCCTTGTATTTTTGTACCATTTCACCAATGAGACCATCAGTAAGTAAGAAGCTTGCAAAAGCGCTCTGAAAAGGTTGAGGATTGTTGAAGCTGCAGCCCATGACCGGATTCAAAACCCTTTCTCGTACTGCCAGAGGCTTCTGTATTGCATTGTTAATAAATTTAGTGACACCTAGTGGGCACACAAAGGTATTTAAAGCACAAACTTTACAGCACTGGCCATTTCGCCATCTTTGTGGCAAAGTAGCTCTTGATTATTTAAAAAAATTCTTGCTTAATAAATGAATTTGTGACTGATATTCAGTCAAACATCATGGATCGTTTTCACTTACTGCAACATATTTATTAATAACTAACTGTTCCCCCCTTCAGTAATCATCTGAAAATACAGACGAGTTGGCCTGTTTCTGTGCTGTAACGTTCTATGTCATTCAAAATGTACCTGCTGCAGAGAAGAGATGTTCTAAATGATGGCTGAAAGTCTGAAGGATTAAGTGTGTGTCCAAGCTGTTTGTGCAGAGTCATACTGGGCTTGGTCAGTATGTCAGCTGTGTCAGGAAACTCGACTGGTAAGCGACTCAAACTAGCCACTGCCCCAGGTCCATGGCTGGGAGAGTTCACAGGACTCAGGCTAGGCGAAGTTCCTGGGAGACAAAAAGGACTCATTAGTTTATTCATCAGCATCACATAAGAGTTTCTCTCATCAAACCTTTTGTGATGTGTGACTGTGTAACCCTTTATTCTTTCAGATTATTTTGCTCTCCTTTCTGTCAAGATTATACAGTGTTCCAGGTTACCAGCATCCAGGCTTCCACCATGCCATCTGAACCAGCTGCTGAAACCCTCCACCCAACATTCATAACAGTAGTCACATATTGCCAGTAATCAGAAGTGCACCAGGTCTGTGTAGTTGATGCCAACACTGAAAGATTTTAAAGAGTAAAACCAAAACCTAAAAGTACTGATTGGTGCAAAAAAATTTCTTTGACTGACCTTCACACTGATTTCTACAATTTTTTGCACCAATCAGTACTTTTAGGTTTTGGTTTTTCCAAAATAACGTTTGTAATTTTAGCAATTCACAGCATTTGGCAGTGTGGCACAAGACTGCATAAAATCCAGCATGCACAATAGCTTGTGCGATACAATTGTGCAGATAAGCAAAGCAAAGATCCCACTTGGTTACCTGCTCGTCTGGATCCAAGGTGATGTGATGTTAAAGATAAGGAAGCAGATCGAGATTTAGGGATTGTCAGCAGGTTTGAGCTCGAAGGTCCATTTGCCTGTGACCCTATGCCACAAGTACTTGAAAAAGGAAAAGGCACATCAGTTAAAACATTATTATAACTCTGATGGCATAAACATGCTTTCAATGTCTGTTTGATAGAAAATATACATTTCTATTGAAACTTTTGTAACTCTTTTAGACAGTATTATTTACGTACAATCTGCAAACTTTCACACAAATAAAAACACTGATACATGTTATAATAATAATAATAATAATAATCCTTGCATTTGATATAGCGCTTTTCACGTCAGGAGGACGTCCCAAAGCGCTTCACAGAACACACTGTAAAGTGAATTGACTGTATATTTGTGGGCGAACGCGGCAGCCAATTGCGCACAGCAATGTCCCACAAACAGTCGTAGATTGAAAATGACCAATTTTAATTATTGTTTTGGTTTTTTGGAGGGATTATTATTAGGCGTGTGGAGTAAGGAAACTTGCCCAAGGTTTCGCCCTGACTGGAATTGAACTCAGGTCTCTCACTTGCAAAGCGAGTGCTCTAACCACTGAGCTACAGGACTCAGGAGACAGGATTTATTACAGATGTTCTAAAAGATGTAAATTATATTTATCTTTGCAGTTGATATAACACCTTTCACATCAGGAGGATGTCTCAAACAGCTTCACAGGATTCATTATAAAGTCTATATATTCTGCAGGTGAACACAGCAGCCAATTTGAAGAAAGCAATATCCCACAAATAGCCTTGAAGTGAACAGGGATTGTTGGCCAGCGGGATGTCTTTTGGAATTGTGCCATGGGCTGTATTATCCACCTGATTAGGCAGGTGGGACCTCGGTTTAATGTCTCATCCAAATGACAGCACCTCCAACAATTCAGCATCTCCTCATCACTGCATTGGAGTGACAGCCCAGACTATACAAGTTCAAAGTCCTGATGTGGAGCTTGAAATCATGGCCTACTGACTTGTGAGTTGAGAGCGTTACCAACAAAGCCAGACTGACATCACACTTTTCAGTTTAACACCCGCTTCAGCAATTCAAATGAATTCTATTTTCTTTGAAATAAAAGCAGCATGCAATTTTGAATAGCTCCATTATTAGATAGGTTGCTGAGGTGATAACAGGAACTTTTCAAAGGCCAGCAACTCAACTCATATGACACAATATCTCTAAATAGGGGATTCTAAAATACTGGGGAATTTATGAAAGTATTTTGCAGGATTTATTACAGATTTTCTTAGCATTCAATTTGATGTTCTGGTTTTATTCACAATAAATTATTACACTTTGATGAAGTTTGTGAATAATGCCAGGCAATGGGTTGAGAGATCACAACCAATGTCCTGCTTGTCACCTGTGAATAATCACAAATATCCTAAGTGATAGTTTGCAGCAGGAATGTGGATCAATTATCACACAAACAGCGATAGCTTAATGAGACAGTATGCTTTATCCTTTTAGAAGGCTTGATCCACTTAAAGAGTAGCAGTCATAAGTCAAGGAGAAAATCACAAGTGGATAAAATATGATTTGTACATGTCTTAGATTTTCGTAATGTTTGCTTGTAACAAATTAGAGCTTCTTTGCATGTTCAAATATAAAATTCTCAGGAGTTATTACACAAGAAATATAAGGGTTTTACAATGCTAAATAAACCAGATCTTTCACACGATTTTGTCCTTCATCAAAAGATAAGCTAAATACATGAACGCACACACCTGTGCCATACTGACATTATCAAATGCCAGATTATAATGGATGATTTATTTTATATTTGTCAAATTTATTTCCTAAATGTCAGATCATTTCTTCTCAAACAGTCATTGAAGGTCAACATGCACAATCTGAAGCCTTTAATCATATAACCTGGAACAAACAAGGGCAAAGTGCATTCTTAAGAAAACTGCAGGCGAAATCAAAACCTTGACCGTTAAATTATCTAAAAGTGGGTGAATATATTTATGTTTGGCTCTATGTACAAATAAACAGTTCATCTGCACAGCCTGGACTGAAATCAAACAATATAAAAGTATAAGTTGCAATTGTATATAGGTTTTAAACTACATGCATTGTTCCCTCAACATTTTTTTAAAAAAACGAAGGTGACTGGGTGTTTCTTTTCAAATACTAAATCCCTTCTACTCTGCAGTATTCCATAATTCAACGGGCAACAGGTTGTGAGACTACTCATAAAAGTTATTTTACCTGATCCCTGGAAAAAGCACAATCCAGAATCTCTTACTGCTAAGAGTATTCCCTTCCTCCCTGTGAACGTAACCTGATTTCCTGGCTCAGATTAGAAACTGTGCACGTGAGGATTCACGGATATGAACTTATCCCTTACCTTCATGTGAAATGATATAAAAATAGTAATTTAACAGAAGCCAGAAAACAGCCATGAAGTGAATGACTAATTTTACCTGGGAATTGTTGACCAAGGAATAATTCTTTTCTGTTTTGTTTTAATGGATCTCTAATGTATCTTTAATGTACATCAGTTTAAAAAAAGTGACCAGCCAAAGGAATTTACCTGGACCCACCTGCACACCAAGGTGTAACAGTATATTAACACTTTAGTAACATTAATTGCGTATGCAACTCTTGCAATGTGCAGTTTGTTTCAGCAACACAGTGTGTGAGGATAATATGCATGACATCGATCGGCTCAGGAATAATATAGCTACACTTGCTGGCAGTCATATTACTCCCAGCACTATCTCCAATTGACATATTCACCAAGAGGTATTCTCACAAAAATGGCACAGGCAATAAAAGGTACAAAAATTCTTCAAATGGTTAATTACTGCTTTAGTGGACATATAGTTTTGTGAATATTCTATCTAGTGAACGTTAAAGGTCTCATCACATTATCAAAAAAAAGTGATCTTTTCCTGCTATCCTGCCCAATAAGCCTCCAGATTAATTGGTCATTGTAGGGCCTAGCTGGTGCAAATAGCTGCTGTGTTTGCCTGCAAGAAGTCATTATTCTTGACAGTAGTTACCTCTTAAGCACTTTGAGGTATTGATTCAAGAAGATGGTATAACAATGCAAGTTCTTTCTTCTATACTGCATGAAACTTGTTATGTTGCTGATGTATTTTGGCAAGCAATATTTAATTTAAGAGATTCACCCCTTCCAGCGACCCAAAAAGAGTTTACAACAGATTTTTATAACATGCCACTGCAATGTCATGGGCTGCATCGTTCATCCCAGGAGGTATTGCCTAGATACAATGTTCACAAAACTATTTTGATTCCATATATGGCAAAACAGAATGTGCTCGCTCTTTTACCTCTTGGAATAATCCTGTTCACAATACCTAATTTGAGTGGAACAAAATAGAAAGAAATTCTAATAAAGTGAGTGAGCCAGTCTTTTGCATAAACACCCTCTATTTATTCCTGATGTATACAAAACATAAAACTGAGATAAGATCGGCTGAGTACATGTTCCATTAGATTTTCTTAAACTTTGTAAGTGTGCAATATACATTAAACAATATGCAACTTAAAGGTATTAAGGAGTTCTTCACATTCTACTGGAAATATGTATGTGAATACTGGGGTAGATTGGCTTGTTCAAAATGAACTCCTATATAGTTCAATCCTACCACCTAGTGGAATGAATATAAATAGCACACAAATGTGTAAAATTTAGATCATGTAACAAAGGAAAATGTACACTCCTGACATTGAGAACTTTGATAAAATGTTCATTTCACAGGGACCTCCTTAGCCTGATCAATAAAAGTGCCAATGAGTGAGGCCCTCAAATTATCATTATGAACTATTCATATGTGGAAAACTTTTAAATTAAACGTTCTTTGCTGTGAAGATATTAAAGAAACAAGACGGGAAGATGGAGGATACATGTATATTTTATAGAAGTGCAAAAACAAGGAATTACATGAACACTGCCAGCTTCATATCTGCTAATGGTTTCTCCTCTCGCCCCCGCACTGTCATGTGTGGCATTCCTAGGGGCTCTATCCTCGGTTCTCTCTTTAATACAGTAAAACTTATCTTTATAAATTGTATAATCACATAAGCTGTGCATCCACCCAAGCACCATTCAGTTTCCTATCAAAACCACTTACCACTTTGCACTAGTCATGTTTATCACCTCTAAATTTACAATGCCACTCCCGTACCCTCCATTACTACTGCACTTACTGGTTGCACTGAATTACAGGAAATGACATCCTGACCTGGCTCCACTGGCTCCCCACGCTTTGAAGGATCAAGTTCAGGATTCCTATCCTCACTTTTAAATCCCACCACAGTCTTGCCCCACCCTACCCCTGTGACCTTCCAAAACCCTACCATTCGTCATTTGTCAGGCAGTGGCCTGCTTCACATCCCTCGCCCTGCCCACTCCATTATCGGCAGTCAGGCATCTTTTAAGATCCATTTCAGAACATTCCTCTTTGACCGTGCCTTCAGTCATCTTCACACCCCCTTCCCCCCCTGGCCCTCATCCCTACCAAATCCAACTCGCAGCTCGGGTGCAAACCCTGGGCAGCACAGTGCCTTGGTCCCTCCTCAGGTCCTCCCAATGTGAAAGGCGCTATATAAATGCAATTTGTTGTTGGAATTTGTGACCAATAAGTAGTATGAATAAAATAATCATAATATAATAATCCTTTCATTTGACATACCGCCTTATCATGTCGTTGAGACGTCTCAAAGCGCTTCACAGAATATATTGTGAAGTGAATTATTTGTGCATTTTGTGAGCAAAGTATAGGTAAACAAATGTATTCAGCTATTTTACCCTAGAAGAGAAACTTATTAACTTATAAATTAAATTCCAAGTATAACTAAAACGTAAATGTTTGACACAATTCGTAAAGGTATAGATTACCTCATAATTCCACTCTCCGCATGAGGCTTCATCCCATTGCTTCGGTCCCACCTGAGAGGGGCGGGTTCCATTGTGGGGAGGCCAGTGGCTGACGTTGTGGTTGTCCACGTTCCTGTATTTCTTCTCAGTTGTCCTGTAGGTAAGCTTCTTCTCAGACGCTTTTTGTGGTTTTGTGTGAGTGTGTGTGTATTGGGGAGGGGAAGAGAGAAAAAAAAATATTTAATTGAAAATATGACATGTAATGTAGCCTGGCTTTGCTCATGAACATGACCATGAGAAACTGTCATAATATTATAACCTGTTCTGACAGCGATGATAATCACTGGATAGATAAATATTTTTGGTGGAAAAGGAATATATATATTTTTTAAGGTCTCCAGACTCAAATTTCATGCAAAATAGCAAATAACACTTGATGAGCATTCTCTGATAATGGCTTTGAGTGTGGTATTTACATGTGGTCATTCATTCCAGCACAGTTACCAACTTGTCACAACTCTTCTTTCTCTTCTCTTGCACTCCCACTTCTCTCACCCCACCCCCAGTCCCACACACAACACACCCATACATACAACACACACACACACACATACAACACACACACGCAAAATTTTGTTAGGCTTTAGAACTTAGAAATTACTAAAAACAAACCTGTAAAAGTGCTTTCAACTTGATACAACTCTCTTTGCAGACCAGAGGGAATGACAACAGCTTCAAGGTGTGTACTTAACAAACTGAGCAAAGAGGAATCGTTTCACATTCTACAGTGCTTTCAACCCAATGACAAATCGTGAAGGATGATTTCCTACAACTTGAACTTCTCTCATCTCAATAGCATTGCTTATTCATATCACACACTTTAATGAACAGTTCATATACTTATCTAACCTTTGGAAATACCCTTTCCCCTTTATCTGACAAGTCATCCATTTCCACACAAGGGTACGAATCGGAGAACGATGTCAGCGGATTCACTTTTGGTCGATGCGTATTAGAGAAGGTAAGCTGGGAGCCAATGAGGCTGCTGATGGTTCGCAGAGAGGAGGTGACATTGGAAGGCAGGGAAAGGTCAGCAAGCAGGTCTGTCACCAAACTGTGAGCCTCACTCATAACTGCAAGATCCACAGCGTACCCACTGGTGGAATTCTGAAACAAAATGTACAGGGTTATTGTCACTGATGTCATTTTTATGTCATTGATTGTTAGATCTCTTTAGCCATTTGCATCTGGTTTGCAATATTACAATCATACAGTAATTTGGGTCGCCGTCAAAGCCTTCCATATACTCCAGTTGCTGTACAAACATAACAGAGCTACAGTGCTCCTTACAAGGACACTTAGCAAGTAAAACTTTGAATAAGGAGAACGTGCTGGCTGCTGGATTCACCACTTTGCATGCTGCTTAGATGACTTCATTAACAGTTGAAACAATCAGTATAAATAATTCCAGCAGAAATATTTTATCTCATATAACGTCCTGAAGAAATCCATTTACAGGCAAGGCATCTGCTGCTCAAAAAAAAAACTTAAATTCATTACGTTTACCTATTTAAAAAGAAAAATACCTGAGATATCCAAGAGTGTTGTAGTTTATTATTTTCAGCCTGCAAGTATTCAACAGGTGGAGATGAGGCTAATAATTAAGGTGGAAGGCGAACTGGATGGACCTTGGCCTTTTTCGTCTAGCATTTCTTATGTAATGTTTCATAGATTCATAGAATGTTACGGCACAGAAGGAGGCCATTCGGCCCATCGAGTCTGTGCCGGCTCTTGACAGAGCAAGTCACTTTCACTAACCCCAATCACCAGCTTTCTCCCCATAACCCTGCAAACCCGTCTTCCCCAGATACCTATCCAGTTCTCTCTTAAAAGCTGTTATCGAATCGGACTTCACTACCCTTTCAGGCAGATCATTCCAAATTCGAACAACTGTTAAATCACTCTTTGATGTAAGTCACCATACGACCTGCATTACTATTACACATTTACTGAAATCGTGGGGCAAATCAGTCATTTTGAGGTTGAAGTTGCTGATGAACACTAGGAAATATTGTGCCTTATGCTGGATTAAGATATGTTGTCAGACAAAATAAATGAAAGTCAACACCAAGTACATCTAAAACCAAAATTGTAGAGAATAGACTCATTTCCAAAAGAACGCTTCATTTTCTTTTTAGCTAAGCATATGGCCTTACATTAATATCTTAACGCAGATTTTTCTACAAAAATGGCTAGTCAAGTGTTCACTGCCTCAGCCTCGCAACGGTGCAACAGTAGTAGACTAACTAATACCGGTGTGAGTTGTAATTTGGCATCTGTATGAATAGGTGACTTTTGGGATGCAAACTGACACTGCTTTGGCTTTACACTGGTTGTCACCAGTGAGGAACCAACTTTGGAGACTTGATAAATGTACACGACCTTCATTAAATTGTAAAAAAAAAAGCTTGAGTGAATTAAATTTCTAATGTCATAAAATATCATCGGCAGAAAGTATTTTCTAATTTGCACTTCGCCAGTGGTTAACCACATCTTTGTACATGCAGTTAAGCACAAATGCCTTTTCATCAGTTGAGATGAGGGCAATATAGTTCACTCCTCGCCTCCTCTACCTCTCTGAAAAAAGGTACTGGGTATCACCAGGACGTATGAATGACATCGGTGGTTTTATCATAAAAATAACTTTGTGCTAACACTGCTTCTTACCACTAGATGGCTGCACTGCACCAAGTCCTGCAAAGGAGTTGTAGCAAGCTACACAGAAACTGATTGCCAATCAAAATCATATGCTTTATTATCATCAGTTCATCTTTCAGGGTATTTCTTATAATATTGCTGCTATTATTGTTAGAAACCTCAGCTCACGCTGTTGAAGCTTACTAAGCAAACGGCAAAACAGAGTGTAACGGTAATTCAGGTTCACTGCTTTCAGTCTCTCCAGTCAAGTGCCATCTGTGCTGCTCAGTGCCTCTCAGCAACAGTATGTTGAGATGAGGATCATAAGCCTCTCGGCGACATGCAAAAGCCTTTATTTTGCCACTGCATGCCACAACACATTAACAAATCAACTTGCTAAGGCTACCCTGCTGCAAACTAAATATTCCCTAATCAACACATCGGAAAGCATATTTCAGCAATGCAGTATGGCGTTCTCCTTCATAGTTCTCCCTGGGTCAGCAATTGCTTAACGTGAGTGACACTGCGAGCAATTCTTGAAAGTCAATTCATCCTACCTGTTACACTTCAGAACTGTACAATCCAACAATGCCACAACTATGCAAAACGTTGAGCTATTAATCTCCACTCTGTTAATTATTCTGCACTGTAGTTATCCAGAAACAAACACAAAAAAAGTTATAATTATTTTTGTCCCCGAAATAAAATAATTCTACCTCAATATTTGAGGCATATTTTTCGTCTAATGCATGACACCAACTTAGAAAGATAAAACCAAAGCCCAGAATTTAACATAACAACCTCGCCAGCTATATCCCCTCCTGTTAACTCAAATCAAAATGTCATCAATATTGCCTATCTATTCAGAGCTTTTGTTACACTGTATTAACTGATATTTTGCAAATTATCGAATCTCATACTTTTCCACTAACAGCTTGCACTGATTTTGGTTGACATTTGAGACAATGGAATTAATTAACTTTTGGTAAATAAATATTTTTTCCAAAAACATTTTAATGCCATCCACAGATTAGAAACAGATGAAAACATAAAAAAGCATTTTGATTTGTACATAATAGTTCCAAAGTTGTTATCCTAATTGCTAGAGTAGTTAGATCAGCAAACCATGAAAATATAATAGCTGGGGACCTACAATTGATTTGCCAGTTGGGAAGCTTATGTGTTCACGTAACATGATTTACATGTAAACATATGGCAGGCTGGCTAGACAACCATCCAAGGAACGTGACTGGGCAAACTATCCGTTCATAGACATGTTCCAATGTATATGATCCAAGTCTTTTAAATGCTGCATGATATAGATGATATACATTCAAGATGGTTATTTAACTAGGTATTTAACTAATTTATGGAACAGAAGCAGTTGTGATTCTTTAACTTTTTATAAAGGCACTGAGGCATCTGCATGGGAAAGAGATTGGAAGTTATTGGAGTATTTACAGGCTGAGATAAACAAGGGGCATAATTATTTCTAAGCTTTATAGCTGTTGGGATAGCCATAAATCAAATGTATGTGGAGGGAAGAAGACCAGAGTTTAAAGAGGGACATTTGGGACGGGAAGAATATTCTGCAATTTTAGCTCGATTATCTTCGATCAGGAACTATCTATGTAGAACTTTCCCCAGGAGAGACAGTAGGTGGTTATAGTCCATGTTAGATAGGGTAGGCTTTGGGTGGTGTGGAAGGAATGGCTGGGAGTTCTTGCGAATGTGATTGTGAGCAGAAGCAATCACACACCACTGATTTACTTCAGGGGAGTAAATGCAGGAGATTCACCTCAGTTTAGTTTAAAAGCTTGAAATGCATGTCCTCGTACATTAGAAGTTGACCAAAGCTGGGTACTGTAATTATCAATAAAAAATCCTTGAAATAGGGAAATTTGGGAAATAGGGAAATCCTTGAAATCTGTTTGGATTCATGATTATTGCCTACAAGTAGCTGAATAGAGACCAACCCCGTTATAAGATGCTTCAGCTTAGCGCAGGACTGCTAACAGCACATTGTGGACCTCATTGAATACTGCAAATGTTCTCCATTTAGGGCGATGACTGCCTGACTTCCTGCGCATAGAAGTCAAATCAGTTTTGACCCGAGGACCCAGAAATGCTAACTGGTGACCATTTTGTAGCATGCTACATTAGTTTATAGACCCAAACCAATCTGTAATCTCCCAGCTGTTATTCACACCGATTCCCCAGCTTGTCACTGATACAGGATGACTAACATTGCTGGATCAGTGTCACCAGCTGTTATACAATAAAATAACTTTTATCGCTTGCCTAAGCATTCATCTTCATTTTTACGAAGTTATTTTATGCACCCTTTATAGTCTAGCGCTGACACCAACTTCAGTGGGGCTAATGCAATGGAGTGATGTTTCCTCTAAAGTAGTGTGGAATTACTCTGGTTTTCAGGGCATCTCCGAAAGCAGCTACAGCGCATTAGCAGCAGACATAAGAGTTTGGTGCTGCCAATACCTGCAGCCATGTTTACAGTCAAAGGCAAGGTGAACACTCAGCAATATTTTTCACCTTATTTTACAGGTTAACAATCTTGGCTGCATCATCAAGGAAAGCTACCGACTAGATGCCAAGTTTCTCCACAAGACAAAAACCATGAGAGTCCAAAGTGACTAATAAATCGTTGGAACTAAAAACAACGCAGAACAATGCTTAGATAAAACCTTTTAATTGCTATGTTGTCTTTGCATCGATATGTGTTTTTGGTCATTGCATTTGAAATCTCTAGAGAAAGAAAATGAGGTGGCACCGTGTGCAGCAAAGCAACATGCACACGGCTTAATTTAATTGTCAACCCTAGCACCTAAACGTAGTCTGTCCCATTCAAAAATATATAGATTCAATAAATTGGCTTGATAGCCACAGGTCAACATAAAGAAAGAACAAAAAGATAGAATCCCATGCCTCCCAACCAGGCTACAACGTACCTTTACTTGGTTCATTCCAGATAACTTTCAGACAGACTGATCCTAACTCAGTCCAGCTTGGAAACAAACTGTAGCAAGTCACGTGGAAATCACCATAAAACTTGAACCTGTTCACCCGACTCAGTTCATGGCAATTTAAATTTCACCACCAGGACTGCGTTGCAGGTAGTTTCACCACTTATCCCTCGCAAAAATCAGTGAAACATTAAAACAAAAGAGCGTGAAGCAAAGTCAAAGAAATGATAAAGAAACAGTAAATTCAGACCTCATTTTCCACAATTCTTTTTATTTTCCGCTTTGTTATCTACATAATGAATATATGTATGTATGTATGTGTTTATACTTGCGTTAAAAAAAGCCAAACAGCAGATTTATATTCCAGCAGCCACAATAAATCAGCTGTGAGAAGCGCACTACAGAGCTAGTCTAAAGACCACTGAGATTGCGTCAGGAGAGTAGAGAAAGCAAAGATGAAGACGAGGGGAAAACTTTGAAGCATTG